TGCCCAAGGTGGGTAAGGTTTGTCTATCTTACTTATTTGTTGCATTTGTATCCCGCCTTTCCACCAAACGGTGCTCAAGGCTGCTAATAGCAATGGCAAATGTTGCAAGTATTGTGTTTCTTGGTATCCACCATAGGCGTCAACTCCTAGGGTCTGATGTCCCTTCACCCTGCCTCCCATTAAAATATTTGAAGGGGCCGACACCCCCCCCCCGAGTTGATGGGTAATGGTGTTCGTGTGCTGGGCCTTGTGATTGATTATAGTGACAGACAGCTCCTGGCTCATCCAAAGAGATGTCCATGCAAGAACTGGAGCGGGGTTTCTATCGCCAGATGTGACTGGCTCTCCCACATGCAGGAGTTGATCCACCTGAATAAGTCTGTGGATTGCTGGACCAAGGCCGTTGATTGAGCTTTTATTGACAACTGATTCTTCTGTTCTTTCTACTTCAGTCACAAGAATTGTTTGTTTGGAGTCAGATGGAAAACTACAACAGTAAGGCCACCGTTGACTTTCTCGTTGGTTTTACAGTATTAATTTTTGAGAAATGGGCTGAGTAATGCAGTCTTCTTTTTGGCTGCTACTCAGAAGCAACTGTGAACATATTAGAAGAGGAGGGGAAGCATAAAATAACTCCCAAAGCACATATTATCTTTTCATCTTCCCGTTTTTGGATTGTCTTGGTTTTGCGATTTGGCTTGTCTGAGACAGAGCTTTCTTATAAACTCATAATACTGATTCTGGCTGTTGCCTAGGAACATGTCTCTGGTCTTTCGGGGCATTCATATTCTAATCATAGCTCTCTGGCAAAACCTTGTTTACTTCCTTTCCAGGCAGTGTCAATGACACAGCCTTCAAAGGTTTTGGTTTTATGTTTATAACTTGTCTTTCATTTATGCTTTAGAGAGGGTGGGTGTGAGGAACATATCCGCCCTGGGCAATTTTCATTAAGAATACAGACTGCCAGCTGAAGTGATTGGATAGTCCTTAATTCACATTTTGTATTTCAATAATAAAAGCAGGCTTGTAAGTCACTCACCTGGCTTCCTTTGGTGAGGAGGAACAGACTTCAGATGACCATGAAGAGAAGCTTCTGTAAAATGGAAAAGATCTAGTTCTTTTCTCCCCACCTCCAGCACAAATGAATTAAGGGCCAAACTAGTTCCTAGGAAGCTGTCTTGTATCAGACCACTAGCCTATCCAGCTCAGTACTGTATGCACTGAATGGCAATCTAGGACATTTTGTATGCAGAGCTGATGCTCTACCACTGAGCTACATGGCACAAGCGTGTAATAATGCATTTTTAAAAAATTATTTGAATATTTATTTAGCATTTTGTGCATCCCAACCTTCTTCCCTTTTGGAGCACTGGTTAGCTAACGACACACATTCAATAAAAGCAGCATAAAGCAGAACATAAATTATAATGGCTAACTCACAAAAAGACAGTAGCGATACATATCTATAGAATACATCAGCTGCTAAAGAGGAGTAAAATTGTGACTGCAGCATATAGGAAGGAGGATTTAATCCTTTTCCTGTGTGTTGCAGTCCGGCTAAAAACCTCTGCTACCTCTGGCTGTATAATTTGGAACTAATGTGATTTGGAAAATGTGATTTGATTGGCCTGTTAATAAAAATTATATTTAAAAAAAAACACAACCTCTGCCACCATCCTTCCATCCCTCAAGCTGAAATTGGCCTTGGAACAGAAACTTCCAATCGTGCCAGCAGTGATTTTTGAGTGTGTGGCTTACATCAGGGCGGTTGTGGTTGGGGAATGGTTAGACACCCCCTCGCTGTGCAATATTCTCTCCCTGCCTGATGTCATTTTCTTGCTTTCCCCTCTCCATCCCCTCCTTGAGATTTAAAGATATCTTTTTTAAAATGATACCTTAGTTAGTGGTGTCCAAACTTTTTTGAAAGAGGGCCAGATTTGATGAAGTGAAGGGCCATGAAGGCTGACCAAAGTTGTTGACCTTTTTAAAAGGATTTTACCCCAGAAATAAACTGCCACAGGGACCGGATTAGGCCCCTAAAACAGACTTTGGACATGCCTGCCTTAGATGCTCACATTCATTTAATATTTGAGCCTACCGTACGTATGTGGAGCAGGTTTTCAGGCTACCCAGTTTTTCTGGGCTAGTAACCTTTGTGAACACACTTGTACTGTGCATCAGCCCCACTTGCCATGTATTTGTTGAACCCCTATATTATTTCCACACAAAGAAATCCTATGTACAAGTGTGTGTGCACGTGCCCATTGGCCCAGGTTCCCTTTTCACGTTGAAGAGCTCTGCTTAGGGAGGAGGGAGCTTAACTGCAACTTCCAGCTTGGGTGGCATGCTAAGTGATACCATAACGTGGCTTACTGTGTTACACAAACAGGGAGTCCTGAAGTGATTTACTTAGAACATCATCATACAAAATATATAGCTTTGAGTGATGGCTTCAATTTCTGCTGACAAACTCAGTAGGTGTAGATGAGTTTTTAAAACGTTGATGGTGATAGTGGAGTAAACTGTTGTGGTCAGCCAGGGCTGTCTTAAGCATACGCGGCGCCAGGGTGCAAAAATCCGCCTGGTGCCCCCCCCCGTTGCCCAGTCCCAGGTGCGTAGGAGGGCAGAGCCGGCTGCCCACCTCACTGGCTCAGTCGCCCCCGAACTCGTGGCACAGAGCGGCCTGCAGCAGAAGAGCCCGCTGCGGCGCTCCAACCAACAGGTGGGCTCTTCCCCTGACTCAACTCTCGGGCCCCGGACTCTTGGCCTGGCACCCCAGGTGTCCTTCACTCCTAGCGCCTATGGGAAAGACGGCCCTGTGGTCAGGATATTTCCCTATTCTGAAATCCTGTCTGGAGACTCTCTGTGCTGTTCTTCATTTGGTGGAGGAAAAGGGAGCGGGAGCACAAATGTCTATCAATATGTTCCGTAAAAAAAGATGAGATCATTTCAAAAAGAGAGCTTGAATAGCAGAGTTCTGTCACAGCCAAGAAAGTTGTTTTTGGTGTTTCTTCTCTTGCCTTTTAAAATAAAGGGGGCGTGTGCTTAGTCTTTTGAAAGAGGACATTAAAATGCTTGAGTTGGTCTTAAGTTGAACAACAAGTTAATCTTTTGTTTAGTAATCTTGGAGAGAAGTCTCAAGGCTTCAAGTCCTCCACTGGAATAAATTTTAAAATTGGCAGCCAGTGAAGGTTTTCATAAACACTTAGCTTCTGTAGACTGTTCTGCCTGATGGAACATCAAGACAGGATTTATGCGGGTGGGAACCGAGAAACTCAATCCAGAAGCATCAGTGTTTGTACATTTCCTACTCTCAGTTAACCTCCATATAGTTTTGAGGGATTAGAAGCCTACCTCAGTTTTCACATAAGTAGACCCACAGGGTAGTCCTTCTGGGACAGTTCTCCAAATTGTTACCTGTGGAGCTACCAAACCACTGTGATCCTGATAACAAAATTATCATTAAATGAAAGGTGTTTGCAGAGAAGTGGGTGGACAACTTTTAAAATAATAGATGAGGGAAGTTCCTCTTTTGATTTCAGAGGGGAGTTGAAGTTCAACAACATCTGGAAGGCCACCTCTGGTTTAATGTTACAGATAACTCCTGTGTTGATTCGGAGGACAAGCACTCAAACATGTACAACAGGGGTTACCAACTGGGTGCCTGCAACCTCTCTGCTAATGCGACAGTATGTGGAGATTTGTTTTGGGGTGAGGAACCCATTTCATCCCGTTTTTCACAGTGCAAAAAAAATCTGACTTTTGTGAAAGATCTGGAATGGATATACTCGATATTTTCAGTAGTGTGGCATGTGTGCAAGCACCATCTCACTTTTTGTGGAGTGGGGATGGTTTAGGTGACTGTCTGTTTCAAGGCCCCTTCCCTTTGACCAGTGCAAGCTGCTGGTTTGCATGCTCAGAGGAGAGAGATGGCAGATAGCGACAACAGCACAGAGTCAAAGTACTGCCCAGGACAGCGATCCTTATCTTCAGACAAAATTTCCTCACGGTAGCCAGGTTCACTATAGCTCAGGCAGACATATAGGTCTTCTTCTAATCCTCTATTCTCCCTCCAGATCAGTACTCCAAAATACTAGGCATTAAATATATAGCATCTCCCCTCATGTACATGCTTATACTGGCTGGAGGAGCGCAAGGTGGCGTTAGGGGTGTGGCTATGGAACTTTTCTCAACTTGGTCATAGCCTGCCTTTGGTGTAGAAAGGAAAACCTCGCCCTCTAATAATAGTGACATATAAGCAAAGGTGCAGACAGTCAGCTACCAAACTCACTTTTTAAACCACCGGCTCAAACAGTAACTATCCCACTATAAATGGAAAGTGTGGAAAGACCCCCAAGATACCACCGTAACAAGAAAACCTAGTGCGGTCGCAGATGGTGAGGTGAGTGATGTGCAGCCCCCACCACCTTCGCCCCCCCCTTCAGGAGTGCGGGTGAACAAAGCTGATTATGGCAGATTCAAAGGAAACAGATCAAGGGCTCCCAAAGCTGCTCCCCTTGGCTAACACAATTCAGATGCAGGAGACTTTAGAAAATGAAAGGATTAAGAAAGTAATAAATAAAACATGTGAATTTGTCTCTTCCCTCCCCCGCCCACTCCTTTGCACAGTGAAAGCCGCCGGATCCAATTGTGTGTTGGTTTTCCTTTTGAAATGGCTTCACAGTTGAAGCCTCCTGTCTCTTTAAGACGATTCCTTGTTAGATCAGGGAGAGTTTCTCTCTCTCTCTCTCCCCCCCCCTTTTTCTGATGCTTGACTATAATTACCAGTATGTCTGGAATGTGGCATATAAAAACATAATAAACCTCTGTGTGGGCAGTGCTAGGATTGCTTCTGTGACTAGGGAGTCTGCTTGGTTTCAAGGGAAATGGTAGTGTGTTTATGGCTTTTATATTTTTCACCCCCAGTCTCCAGTTTCTGCTAACTTCCTTTCAGAAAACCCCTGCTAAATAATAGCATTCTCTTTTCCTCCCCCCTGCAGAATGAAGAGAAACGGAATCTCGCTCTGGGAGGCCATGTTGGATTTGACAGTCTTCCTGATCAGCTTGTCAGCAAATCCGTAGCGCAAGGCTTCAGCTTCAACATCCTCTGTGTGGGTGAGTAAAGTGTGCACTGCAAACGAGAAAAGCACTTGGACAAAAACAACACGTAGAAGAAACCAACTTGTTAGAAGCCTGGGAGAGCCGGTTGCTTAGTGGAAGAACACATGCTCTGTATGCACACAAGGTCCCAGGCTCAATCCCTGGTGTCTCCAGTTAAAAGGGCCAGGAGAGATATCAGCCTAAGTAGCTCTCCTAGGCTAGATGGACAAAGAATTTGACCTGGTTTAAGGTAGCTTCTTGTGTTTTTCAAGCACTGTTTTCAAACCACAGCCTTCTGCCCATGGTGGCAGGTGCCCATTAGGACTGGACTGGTGGGGTCGAAAGCAGGGAGCCCTAGCAGTAGGTGGAGTCAGAGCCAATGGCAGGCTGAGCTACCCTCCTTCCTGGTCTGGTCGTAAGTAAGAAGGCAGGCAGTCAGGGGCTGAATGAAGGCAGCCTGAGTTTGGCAGGTGCTTCCCCATTGACTTAATAGAGCAGTCCCAACACCTTATACCATGGCTGATGTGCAGAGCTGAATCTCCCAAATTTGAAATGTGATGTACTTTGTTGAGGCAAGGCTAAAACTACTACAGTGGTACCTCGGGTTACATACGCTTCAGGTTACATATGCTTCAGGTTACAGACTCCGCTAACCCAGAAATATTACCTCAGGTTAAGAATTTTGCTTCAGGATAAGAACAGAAATCGTGCTCTGGCGGCGCGGCAGCAGCAGCAGCAGGAGGTCCCATTAGCTAAAGTAGTGCTTCAGGTTAAGAACAGTTTCAGGTTAAGAACGGACCTCCAGAAGGAATTAAGTTCTTAACCCGAGGTATCACTGTAATAGGATTTCAACACCATTCGCCCTTTTTTTCCTTTTTAGTGGGGTAAGGGCTTTGCTTGCTTTCTATATGACTGGGTTTCCATGTGATATTGATGAAGGCCATGACTTATACATTGCTTTCACAACTGTGAAAAAGTCACGTTAAGAAGCTGGATTTTCAGGTAGCTTGCATTTCTAATGGCTGGACCTGCTCCTATGAGATTCAGCCATTGGTTAGAATAAAACTCAGTGAATACAGGATTGGGTGGCTTGCACCATATGTTGTTGCTGAAGCTGCTGGCTTGCTTACTTGCCTTCTCCCTCCATAGTTTGATAGAGTTGTCTCCCCTATCTTATGACTTTCACAGGGAGCATTAAAGTCACGGTGGTTAGATTGGAATCGGATTGGAATAATTTGCTTCTGGCAATGATACTTGGGGCCTTTGATCTTTGTTTCAATTTTTGAAACATGCATATGATTGCTGGGGAACAGGTTTTGGTCTCCAGAAGGCAACCTACAAGGCCAAATTCTTTCTTTTCTTTTTGCAGATTTAGCTGCAGCAAAAATTCCATAAATGCTTATTGTGCTAATTATAATTTTTCCCAGTCCAATCTGGCGAGTACTGGAAAATACTTTTAAATACATTGTTCTATGTGCTCATGGTTTCTGCTTAGCAGAATAGCTCAGGAGAGAATTTAATATACTCCAGGTCTCTGCTGAGAGCTATAGGTGCGTACAAAAACTTCTGTGTGATTTTGTCGCACTCATTGGTATGTTTCCCCTTCCCCTTTATTTTTCACATCACATCTTTCTAATCAGCTAAGTTATTTAACCAGGGAAGCATCATTTATTTTCTGTACTAGAACAAATGGGGAGCAAATGATCGTAATTGTGGTGGGACTTAAAGAAACAGAGCGATGGAATTGGGATATTTTTATCCTTATTATTGGAATAACCTGTAGTTTTAAAGGTTGTTCAGACCTCCAAGGCCTGCTTTTCTGAGCCTGTAGCTGGATGGTATTTGGATATGTGCTTTCAGAAAAGAAGAGTTTGACCTTGATTTTAAGGAAACCCCCAATAATGCTGAATTCCTTTCTCTGTTCTCCATTCACCTCAGATTAATGTAACAAAATAAAGATGATCGACATTGATTCTGACAGGAAGACTAAGCATATACTGTAGTTGCATAGGCAGCAGTATGGGCAAGCAGGAAGGATTAAGGTTAAAGGCCATAAATCAAAAGAAATATATAAAGACCCTTTCTGTGGCTTGGAATGTCTTGATAGAATCCCGGTTACTAATGGGACTGGGCCAGCCTCGAAAGCTTTCTGTTAACTCATGTTTCAAAATATACCCACACTTCATTGCCTCTCTGACAAAACAGCTCCACTATTTCACAAGCTTGGGTAGCCGCCAGCCATAGCCAGGAGCAAGTATTCCCTGATTCACTTCCCATTTGCTCTGCCAGCTCTCCTTGCAACATGTCCTTGCATCATACACCAGCCCAGGGGTTTCTGGTGCTCTGCCATCTGTCAAATATCCAGACTAGATTGAAATTATTACACTATTCCACACTGATTCATGATCTCTCAAGGGGAGTTTGCCCATAATTAGAACATTGGAAGTTTCCTATAGGGTTGCGGAGAGATTGTGTTGACATTCTGTAAACTTTTCCCTTATTAGTCTTCACATCTCGCTGCTCTTTTCAGTTTTATGTCTGGAAAAGCAATGCTAGCCCGTGGCTGCTTAGCAGCACAGAGGATCGAACTTAAAAGAAAGTGGCATGTTTATAGAAAGGATATTGCCTCATGCTAGTAATACTGCCTTTTGCTCCAAAAACAAAGGAAGTGGGTGGGAGGTGGGAGACACCATCTGTGTTTTAACAGAGATTGAGGAGTTGCACATACTGAAGGTTTGTTTTGTTTGTTAGAAGCCTTTGAGGAGAAAGCTGTAGACAAATCAAAGGGTCTTTATTGCGAACTCCCTGAAATCCATTTGTTCTGAAATCATGAGAAATATTTAGCGGGGGGAAAAACAATGATGCATCTCCTTATTTCTGGAATTTCTCAGGTGAAACTGGCATTGGGAAGTCAACGTTGATGAACACTCTCTTCAATACAACATTTGAGACTGAAGAAGCCAGTCACTATGAGCATGCTGTTCGCTTGCGGCCACGGACTTACGACCTGCAGGAAAGCAACGTCCACCTGAAATTAACCATTGTAGATGCTGTGGGGTTTGGGGATCAGATAAATAAAGATGAAAGGCAAGTCACTTTCCGATTTGGTGCAGAAAAGTCTGCAGTGCTTTGACGTGTAGAGGAATGTAATGTCTTGGGAATACGCTGGGCCTCACATGAGAGTGGCCATGCATAATGTGATCAGCTGCTTTGGGCGGCCTTTGCCAACCTGGTTCCCTCAAGATGTTTTGGACTACAACTCCCATCAACCTCAGCCAGCACAGTCATTTTGGACTGCAATTCCCATCACTGGCTGGGGCCAATGGGAGTTGCGGCCCACAACATCTGGAGGGCACCAGGTTAGCAATGGGCAGCTTAGGACACAATGATTTACTCAGCTTATCCCATTCACAGTTGGGCTTGGTGGGACATTATGTACTGAATGTTGACCCTGAACCACTGGCCTTTGGACATACCGGCTGTATTGATAATTGATTACTCAACTCGGTGGGTTACACCTAGGTTGACGCTTGAGGTGCTATTCCTCCCTTCCATTAACTGCTTCTGCCTGTCCTCCCATTGCTCTAAACAGTAAGCTAATTGGTTCTTAAGTTTTGCCCTGACTCATTTGCAAAATGGCAGCTGCTGTGCCTCCTCCAGAGTGAGGGAAATAACCATTTGGAGGAAGGAATCCTAGGTCCATAATTGCACTGAGCATCAACAGGAGAGGGCCTTTCAGTCATGCTTGTGGGCTTCCCAGAAGCATCTGGTTGTTCACTGTGGGAAACAGGATGCTGAACTAGACGGACCTTTTAACCTGCTCCAACAGGGCTGCTCTTCTCTTCTTGGGCAGATGATAAACAATCAGTGCTTTCTCTGTTCCTTTGTGACCCTATCACTTTGCATGTAGCCCCCACCCTTCTCTGGCTTCCATTCTTAGAAACAAGTAGCTGAGGACAGTTGATGTCTGATTAAAAGATGCATAATGTAATGCAGACTTGGACCCCCCTCCCATGCTCTTTTTCTTCTCCCACACTTTTTTTTTAAACCCCGATAATATTTTTTAGGCTGTGTAACTGAAAACACTTGTTTAAAACTTCAACGTTTTAGTTTGTAAGGATCAAATCTCTTACCAATTTTTTACTTTTCAGGGCAGCTCGTGGTTTTCCTCAGCCATGAGGAAAACTAGCTGCAAAAAATAAATAAATACCCACCAGTTAGGACCTTATGGTGAAGAGTGGGTAATGAATTGAGTAAATGCCTCTCAAATATTTATTGTATTATACATTAATTATGTATTTCTCAGTTATATTTGTATCCTGACCTTCATCCGGGGAGTGTGGAACAGTATTTTAGCCTTGCAACCACTCCGTACGGTTGGTTCAGCTGACAGATGGTGACTAACCCAACTAACTCTGTGAACTCCGTAAATGAGCTGCCATTGGATGCTCACTTGACATATGCACAGTGTGAACATCCTTGGTTATAACTCAAGTGTGTAGTGAGTAACTGGTTTCATGTTATCACTTCTGCTTTATAACAAAGTTATCAAGTTCAGCTCATCAGCATAACACCCCTCCCCCCAGAAGTGCTTTTGGCCTTATTTCCAGTTTCACTTCTTGTGTGTGCACCACCTTCTGCCTAATTTTAGCTTCACCTCATGAGGTAACCTGTCATCAGTTAGCACTAAAGGTTTTTAACATCCGTTGCACTGAATTCTTATCAAAACTTGGCAGATGGGGGAGACTGGGCCATTCCTTTCACAGCATCCTTGAAAATGCCCAGTCATTCTTTGTTAACTTTAGCATTCAGGTTGCTAATGGAATTCGTTTTTAGTTACAGGCCGATAGTAGATTACATTGACACGCAGTTTGAAAACTACTTACAAGAAGAGCTCAAAATCCGGCGTTCCCTCTTTAATTATCATGATACAAGAATCCATGTCTGCCTTTATTTCATCACTCCAACTGGTCACTCGCTGAAGTCCTTGGATCTGGTGACCATGAAAAAGCTGGATAGTAAGGTATGTGCTTTACCTCACATGTCCTACGAGCATTGACTTTCAATTAAGTACAAGCTTTGGTTGGCACCTTCAACCACCAATCAGTGTGTAATTTAATTTATTTGCTTTAGTTTTCTGTACGCCACTTAGAGATTGTTTTAAAATATTAAGTGGCATAGAAATGGTCTAAATAAATAAATAAAAATGTTTATTCACTTCTTCTGCCAAGGAGGTAAAAGTTTCCCTGTTCTCAGCAGTTGCCTTAGACACTATCCTTCCCATTTCATTACACTCATTCTAGGCCACTTCAGCCTTATAAAATTTGTTGTTGTGAATGTCTCTCTTTGAGCAATCCAGAGTGCACCAACAGTGCTGAGATATGCATGGGTTGGGGAAATAGGTTAGGGGAAGGAAATCCTGTAGGCTCATGGAGTTTACGTATCACTGTTCTGATTAAAGTAAGAGAGCCCTGACTATTGCGTGTGGGAAACAACTTAACAGAAGTTATAAGAAGATGGTCAACGCAGTAAATCAGTTTGTGTTAACGGCAGTCGTTCTGATGCAGTAGTCATTGGGATGCATTGTTCTGGTGAGTTCAGTAAGGCAGCAACCATTTGTGGCTGTAGCCAGACGTAGACCATCTTAGCAATGCTGATAATTGCTTCCATGCAGCATGTGCTCAGCCAGCCAACTCTCCTCCTAGCTGATGACTAGGTGTGTGATGTTCAAAGTGAAAAAGCAAGTCTTCTGAAGTCCATGCTGTGAGGAGAGCTTGAGGCAGAGGGCAAAGGTCATTCACGTGAAAGGATTCATGTTCAAAACAAAAAAGTTCACATTTTTATTGGGTGACCTTTTTAACTTTAAGAACGTAAAACATTTTAAATGTCCAAATGATGTACTTTGCTAAGGATTAATTAGAACACTGCATCTGCTGAGGAATAGAGATGAGACACTTATATATTTTGGCTCCATCAGCTTGAATCCTGAGCTGCATATGCTGAGCTTTGTCCACTACTTTTGTGTGTTGCTGTTTGGAGGGTATACTATATCCCCACCCCACCCCCCAGCAACCACTTCTGACACTGGCAGAATCCTTTAATCCTGCATGCATAGATATTTGATCAGATGCATATGTGTTTAATGCTCAAGTATGCATATGTAATAGGAAGGGGGGGGGAAAGAGAGAGAGAGAGAGAGAATATCAATCCCAAGTAAACATTAAGGTCTGGTTGATAGCTCCAGTTTAGTCTTTGCTGGCATATGAAGTGAGTATTTAAGATATCGAGATCTCAAAGCATGGGGCTGACAATAAAATAGTAGAAATAACAAGTAGAAAGACAAGTGGCTAACTAGGATTGTGTGCTTCCATTGCAGAATTTTGTCATGTTTTGCTCTCTTTCATTACAGCTCACAAGAAGTTCTTTACAGGGGCATAAATATTAATATAATAATAAACAGTACGTTTCTGGTGGCCAGAGAGGTATCCTAATTTTTCAGAATGGAGTGCCTTGGTGAAGAAAATGTAATGATTAAGTGTAGTCTGAACCTCAGAACCCAGGTCTGTGGGATACGTAGGAAATCACGCTCTCAATTTCCAACTTGCTCTTTGTCCCTTTCCGAGAGCTGCTCCTGAATCAGATGTGGCTTGGATACTACATTGGCTTGAGATCAAACATCTGCTTAGCAAAGATGTAGGCATCTCAACTAGCTATGCATTGATGGGGAGGGGGGCAGCTGTTCAACAACTCTGCAATGTCAGCATGGTGATGTCAGACACTGGGTAGACTGTCTGGGTTTCCTGTGATATTAATGTATCTGGTTCATCCAAATGACTTCACCAGGCTTTTCCAGGGTGGAGGATCATTCTCCGCAGTTCTCTCTCCCATCATGCACTGGGGTGCAGCTGAAGTCATAACCAAAGGATCTGTTGCCTACTTTATCTGATTACTTCCAGACAGCCAAAAATGGTCTTCAAAGCTGAATTACTACATTAAATAATAGATGGCTGAGATTGCACCATGTCTAGCCGTTCATATCTCGACACTCACAAAAGTATCCAACCCTGTCTCATTTACCACTTTATCTTAACTCAGCATACATTTTGGTGCAGTAAAGTACAGCTCTGTTTTGGAAAACCACCTGTTTCTAAAAGGGCTTTTATGATACATGTATGTTTTATTACGTTGGCTTCAATATTTAGCATGCTGATGTTGCATATCTTTAATCTCGTTCCATGCTTGCTCTTTCCTTGTGGTGGCTTCACCTGATAATTCAGAAGAGAGATTCTGGCTTTGTTTCCAGCTCTGGAAATGGAATTGGGAGTGAAGGTCAAGAAGATGCAATTTTGGATGCAGTTTTGATTACCTGTGGGAATATTTTAAGAGAAATCCCAAGATAATGAAAAGTTGTCCAGCTTGCTCTTGCTATTCACAATATAGTGATGGGAGATGGTGGCTCGGCTCCAAAGAACTGTGTGGGCTTGTACAATTGGCTTGGGTCAGCCAAGTGGCATATTTTACTCTTTTCAGCAGCTGACTCTCAAGCTAGATCACAAACTGCTTTTACAACTCTTTCTTTTCCAAAGCAGTTCGCACTGAAGGAGTGAGAGAAGCTGCTGTTTAAGGAAAAACAAGCCTAAAGCCTCCTTTGGGTGAACAGACTAGTTTTGCAGTTATTTTAATCCAGGCCAGCACTGACAACTGTGTCTTCTCAATGACCCTGACAGTGCTTTGTTGTAGCAAAAGAGCAATAAGCCATGCACCTGCCAATTCAATGCAAATAGAATTTGCTGGGAACTTTGTTCTGTAGGCAGACATGGGAAAGCCATTGTCACTCAGGTACCTGTGTGTTGGTGGGCCACCAGGTATTCAACTTTAAGCTCCATTTCCCTGAAGTTGCCTGGCTTGCTTTTTCATGCTGCTTTTTTAGAGCGTGCGTCTCTGTTCTTTTTGGAACACATCCATGCTTCCCCCCCCCCCAATAAATTCACCTTTTTAAAAAATCAGCACCTCTGCATTTCTTCAAGCTAATTGCTGGAATCAGTGAATGCATGGTTTAGCAATTAGGTTTAAGAAATAACAACATTTTAATTGGCTGTCAGCTGCTTGTAAATTCCATTTGTTCACAAAGCCTGCCAGGAAATTAAAGCAAGGGGAGGCTTAGATCTAAAGCACAACATGCTCTTTCCCAACAATAGCATCCAGTACCTACAACCTGTGTAAAGTCTTACCTGAGGCAGGGAGCTCCCAGAGTTGCACCCAAGAGGTTCAAGGGGCTGCCGTGGAATGGAAGTATTATTCACACACATCGTGTGTTTTCTGTTTGTATGGAGGGGGTTATGAATCCCGGCCAAAATCTCTTTTCATTTGCCTCTTGAAAGCAAACTACTGTTATCAGACAGGATTAGAGCAGATCAAAGTAGATCTCTGCTTTACTTTATACCCATGGTACAGTCTTGCTCATCCAGATGTTTTGGAGTACAACTCCAAGCTAGCTGACTTACTGCAAGGCCTCAGAAAAAAATAGATTTTTGTGATAGAAAGTCAATTTTTTGACACTGGTTAGATTTAATTGTGTAACATTGACTTCACTCAGAATAGTTCTTTCCCCCCCTCTTGCTTTACTTTAAAGGTCCTAATCATACGACAGTGGACGCTTGGGTTGCCAACGTGATCCGTGCAGGATGCACGTTTTCAACCCGCAGTGTTCACAACCCGCAGCTGTGCATCTGCGCACGTGCGGGTTGCGATTCGGTGCTTCTGCGCATGCGCAAAGCGTGATTTAGCACTTCTGCGCATGCGCAACCACCGAAACCCAGAAGTAACCTGTTCCGGTACTTCCGGATTTCAGCGGTCCAAAACGCAACCTGAAGCGTCTTTAACCCGAGGTATGACTGTATGTACATTAATAATACTTGGAAGAATAATGTAAATTTCCTTGGATATCTGAATGCAAGAGAATACACTGTGGCCAAGGGTGGCTAAATACTCCATGCCTGAGTGGTAACACTTACTAGTTCAACTGTTTGATGTGACAGACTTGCATTCACAATGCTAAGCAACATTCTGCTCTTAGCTGGTGCTCCAGACAGCTTGTATTCAGTTAGCTTTTACTCATTAATTACTATTGAAATTAATGAACAGGGCTAACTTAATTAATTTCAACTATACACACTACTAGGAGGTTTTGAAATGGGTGGATTGGTGGCAACGGGATATTAAAGAAGAGAGGAGACCTAATTTAATGTGCTTATACAAATGAGGTTGGGGGAGCCTGGTATCCCTAACACAATGCAATTAATGACAGGCCTCCAGAACTCTTTAGGGGGGGAAATACTTCCATTGGTTTTATTTCTTTTGCAGGTGAACATTATCCCTATAATTGCCAAAGCTGACACCATTTCCAAGAGCGAGTTGCACAAGTTTAAGATTAAGATCATGAGCGAACTGGTTAGCAATGGAGTCCAGATCTATCAGTTCCCCACAGATGATGATGCTGTGGCTGAGATTAACTCTGTGATGAATGTGAGTAATGTGCTTACTACAACAAGTTTTTATAGTTTTGTATTAATAGCAGTGACGTATCAAAACTGAAGATTGTGTGAAGTGGTAGACTCAGTTTGTAGTAGTGCTTTGGTGCTATTCCTCCTATTTCTCAGTGGAGCACTCCTGGTTGTAGAAGGAAGCAGTGGGATCTTGTTGGGTTGGCTATTGCGACTCTTACAGGACACCACACACTGTCCTTCACACTAAGCTCAGAGACTCCTTTCTCTAGCTTGTGATACTTTCCTCAGAGTGGATGCTTCTACCCAGAACCAACTCTCACTCCCTCTCTTCCTGCCTATCCTCCCACCCTCAATCCCAACCTACTCCAAAACCTCCTCCCAACACTCCCTCCAAAACTCACTAATAACATCTCTCCTCTCCTTTTCAACTCCCCCCCCCCCGAACATTGGCCAATCAGAGGCTGCCATACATTAACCCTTTTCTGGCAAGGAAAAAAAAAGGAAATACTTGGGGACCCAACCTACCCTAGCAAAAACAATTTTTTTTTTAACACAGCTATCATCATATACAATAAATACTCATGTGTATTACCAAAATTACTTAGTACTTTCCCAGTAAATAGAATGCTGAAATGTGGTACACAAATAGTCCTACACCGCCCAATTACCTGAACTGGACACTCTTTTTAAAATGCCTCTTACTTAAGCTTGCACTATGGTCAACTTCATAACAGCAGACAGTGCCAGTCAGAGTAGAGATATGGAACATCCCTTTCACACTCATCTTTGGAATGGGGAGTGAATTTGCAATGCTATCTCTAAACATACTGTGGATGTGACAGGATCTACAAGTTGCCTCTTCCCATACCTGACTAAGCTGTGGATTGTGGAAGCTGAGTGAGTAGGAATACCAGACATCCAGAGTACCTTCCTTCCTTCCTTCCTTCCTTCCTTCCTTCCTTTCACCTTGAGTTGCGTCCATATAAAGACCCTGTTGGGTGGATCAATATGATTACTCTTATATCTCAGATATAAGAGGTCATTGAGGCAAAACCTCTTGCTTGGGCAGTAGCTTGCCTACAGTTATTTAATGGTCAGCACCCCATGAGTCCCATCTATGGAAGCCCTGAGCAAGCAACATGATAGTATACATCTGAGCAATGAAGAGTCAGGTGGGATATGGAATATATAATCTACCCAAAAGCATTCTTTTTGGCAAAGGTTGTTCGTGGAGAAAGTGACTGTGTGAAATCTTCAGTTCTTGGTTTATAGTTGAAAATGCTAAGTCCCCCCCCCTTTGTCTTGTTTTAGTGTAACAGCAGAAGTTTTTTCAGAATAAGTTTCTTTCTTTGCAGTTCTGCTGTCAGCAAAAACGCCAATACCACAGATGTGGGAAATGTGATTCTGTGCTATGAGGAGTTGGACTGAGGCTGAGGGCGCAAATGACATTTTATATTTTGCACTGAATTCCATGGTTATGTGTCATTTTAGGCTCATCTGCCGTTTGCTGTTGTAGGAAGCACAGAAGAGGTAAAGGTTGGAAATAAAATGGTGAGGGCTCGGCAATATCCTTGGGGTGTGGTACAAGGTAAGTCGGAAGCCAAGCCTCTTGACAGTGTTGTGTAAACTTTCCTTGATTGTTTCCTGCTCTTGTAGCTGTATGGGCTGTAGTCCTCATTATTCGTACTCGGAGTAAACCCATTGAAATGAATGGACATGACTAATGGACCATTAATTCCAGTAGATCTACCCAGAGTATGACTAGCCCAATGGGTTTCCTAATGTTCAGTTTTATGCCAAAGTCAGCTTGCCCTCAGCTCCAGGGAATGTTACAGTCCTCTTTCCTATAAAAGTCTTTCCTAAAGAACATTTCTATCATGTCCCCTTTAGATGACAATTAGGTTTCCCCCCCTAATTGTGCTTGGCACCATCTAATTTTTAGCACCTGGCAGTTTATTTTGATGGCTGTTCTCTGTTTTCATTGTTAGGCTGGTGTTTTATTGTCATTATACATTTTTTATTTTTACTGATTATTTGTCAGTTGCAGTATCTGTGGAAATGTTCCCGGGGGGGGGGGGGGACACACGAAAAATTTGCATGCTGATCTGGCAAGGCTCTGTGGTATTTTATTTTACATTTGTTTTGGTAAGCTGATTTTCCAACAACAAAGTTGAGCTAAAAGTGGTTCCCAAAGATAGCAAAGTGTATTAAAAACAGATGCTGTTGCTATTTTTTCATTTATTAATTGCTTCCTATGAAGAATCCCAAAGTGATTTTACAATACAATTAATACATTTATAAAACAATTGCATATATACATTACAAATAAATTATATATAAATACAAAAACAATTAAACAATACTTCAGGTGATCTATTAATATAAATCAAAAGCAGATTGTAATAATGCAATAAATACATCAATACACAATTAAAATACAGTTGAATACAAGGATACAAAAACACCCTCATGGTCGCCACAAATTCATGCTACATACTCAACTAAGCTGCTCCTTAAACCAAAGCTTTCAAGCATAGTGGCACCAGTAGTTTTAGAAGACTGTTCCTGATTAAATTAGACAGGCACCTAAAATTCTGGTGTTTATCTGTTAAAAACATTTTTGTTTCATCAGGTATTTTTAGAAAATTTATTCAGTTTGTTGTTGGTTCTGTACTTTATATTTTATGATGTTTTGATGATTTTATATTACTTTTTTGGTGTGTACCACCAACCACAATATTTTTGTTAGAAGCTAGTGATATATAAATACCATAATAAAGAAATGAAAAACATTTTTTAAAAAAACCAGTTTCACTCAAATAGGTACCAGACACAATCATTTCCTGCTTCCAAATAAACAAGCCTAAAACAATAAATCACCATAACAATAATATGGATGATATCCTGCATTCCATATTTATTTATACAGAGGCAGCAATCCAAAATGCAATTGCTAGAGAGTAAGCCCCTTTTGTACCCAAGGGTGACCTCTGAGTAAATTTGCATAGGATTGTGTTATAAGGTTTGCTAATCGGACGGCACGAAGCTGCCCTTCTCTTAACGGAGGAAACACTCCTTCAATTCTGCTTAGAACGTTACACCAACAAAGGAAACCCCAGGATTTTGAGTCAAGTTGGTGTGTATAAACCATGGGCAGGCAAACTAAGGCCCAGGGGCCGGATCCAGCCCAATGGCCTTCTAAATCCGGCCTGCGGACACTCCGGGAATCAGTGTGTTTTTACATGAGTAGAATGTGTGCTTTTATTTAAAATGCATCTCTGGGTAATTTGGAGGGGGCTAGGAATTCGTTCATTTTCTGCCAAAAAATATAGTCCGTCCCCCACAAGGTCTAAGGAACAGTGGACCGGCCCCCTGCTGAAAAAGTTTGCTGACCCCTGGTATAAACCATCCATTTTTTCACAATGGCTACGCTCCTTCTCTTCATTTGCTCAGTTGAGAATGAAAGCCACTGTGACTTTGTAAAGCTGCGAGAGATGCTGATCCGTGTCAACATGGAAGATCTGCGGGAGCAAACTCACACTCGCCACTACGAGCTTTACAGGCGGTGTAAGCTAGAAGAAATGGGCTTCAAAGATACTGATCCTGACAGCCAGCCATTCAGGTGAGAGAGCATCCTCTCCATTCTTGCTTTCCGCTGGAATACCTGTTCAGGTATGTGAAGGCTGCAAGTTCTGTCAGAATCTGGGGCACTCTTGTAAGCAGGAAGACAGTAATGTGTCATGTCCTTAATGCCTCACCGCCTCCCTCTATGACACATGCATGCGCAGTACATGTACGCAGGTGTAGCTTTATAGCTGCTTATTGTCTTCCGTTGTTTTTCAGCACCTTTTAACGTCTACGTTATTTGAGGTTTGTGTCTTTTGTGTCTTAACCAGCCTTCAAGAAACCTATGAGACCAAGAGAAAAGAATTCCTCTGTGAGTTGCAGAAGAAAGAGGAAGAAATGAGGCAAATGTTTGTGAACAAGGTCAAGGAAACAGAGTTGGAACTGAAAGAAAAGGAGAGAGAAGTGAGTGGCAGAGAATGGAATCTGGGCCACAGATTCATATGGCCAAAAGTATCAGGGGGTGGGTGGGTGTGAGTGTGAGTATGTATACCTATGACACTACAATTACAATATTCCAGCACTTGAGAAGCAAAGAAAATGAGAACTTCCTTGCTGGATCCAACAGAGGCCTGTCAAATCCAGCATTCTGTCTCCATTGATATGAGCAGCCAGATCCTTCTGGGAGCATTAAAGGGACATTCATCCTGTGGGGAATGCATTAGAGGGTTAGGATTGCTCCCTAATTGTTTAATCCATTTTAAAGGTCATCTAATCTATTGCTCTTGACTATACATTGCAGTAGTATATTCCTTACTTTTTGTGTGTGAGAAACTTCCAATTCATTTAATAGGCTGGCTCCAACTTAGGAATTTTTATTTGATATGAAGGCTGTGGGGGAAAGTCTTAAAACTTCTGAATTTTTATGTTTGAATTTATTAAGATCTACTCCAGGGCTTTCAGTATCTAAAACCTAGATGAAATAATCCCAAAATGACTGCATCCGTGTCATACCTCCAGCAACATCTTACCCTAGCTATGTGCTGCTTCATTTTTTGTAAAAGAAACCTTTCAACTACAGTGGCACCTCTTGTTACGTACCTCCCCCCTTAGGAATGCTGCGGGTTACATGATCCGCTAACCCGGAAGTAGATGCCCCTTGTTGACCTTTGCCCCAGGATGCAAGCGGAAGTTGCGCTCCGGCGGTGCAGAAGCAGTGGGAGGTGCCATTAGGGAAAGCATGTCTCATGTTACAAGAAGTTTCCTGTTATGAATGGACCTCCGGAACGGATTAAGTACGTAACATGAGGCACCACTGTAATCATGAAGGCATGTTGCTATCCTTCAGGAGCACAAGGGGCTAATCTGACACATGAAGGTCAGGCAAGTGGGTGTCAAATAATTGTAAACCTTTGTTCTTCAGCTGGAACTAAGGGCCAGGCCATATATTAATGGAGTGGAGGAATTGCTGTTTTCACTATAGTGGTCGCTCCACTGATGTCTGTGGAAAGAACCCGCACAAGTCAGGCAGATTATTCTTCCCATGGTGGTATGCAGGTGTATTGAGAAGCAGAATTAGTCCATCCCACATGGATCCATTACGTAGATGTTAATCAGAGCAGCACTGGATCCAGAAGGGACACTTGTGTTTCTCATTAGGGTTTAACTCTGCCCTCTGTGGTGACCTATAGGACACACTTGCTTGGATGGTAGTGCCCTGCTGTAGGTCAGGATTGGGTTCTACTTCCTGGCAGTGGAGGCCGTGCTGACTGGGTTTTTTTCCTCCCCTCCTTTGGCCAGCTGCATGAGAAGTTTGAACATCTAAAAAGAATGCATCAGGAAGAGAAGAGGAAAGTGGAGGAGAAGAGAAGAGAGCTGGAGGAGGAGATGAACGCCTTCAACAGGAGGAAAGTGGCAGTTGAAACCCTGCAGTGTCAGTCTCTGCAAGCCACTTCACAGCAGCCGCTGAAGAAGGACAAAGACAAGAAAAAGTAAGCAGTTTGACATGAGCTTCACTTTGTTTCCATCCTTTCCCAAGACATTCACACCCAAGTCAAGTCATCTAAAAATATTGCAACAGATGAGTTATTATTTTTTTAAAATAAAAAGTGGTGGGAAGGAACGAGGAGGGGCTCAAGAAGTGGTTTAGACAATTTCCAGAATTATAAAGAAGCCCCAATTTCCCATTCTAACAGAATAAGCCAAGGAAATGTTGTATAAATTTTAGCCATAGTTTCGCAACCATACCAAAGATTTAAGGAGGGAAAAGACGTCCATCTTAGACTAATGAAGACTGGCCCAATAAATGCCTCTTCTGGCCCTGGGATAGTCTTGTCACTTTTTCTTGAAGTGCATTAGCAATTAAAACAAGCATAAAACAATTTCATACAAAAACAAGTACACACACACACACACACACACACACACACACACAACTAGTATTAATTCTTTGTCTACTGGCCACCATGAAAGGAAAATAAGAGAGTTCTATATAAATAGATCAGTATTGTTTTATGTAGTGTTGACATTAAGCATCCCCAACAGGGATTCTTGTTCCATGGGATCTTGAAATGCAGTTGATTTCATTTTGGGTTAGAGTAGGTTCTGTTCTCCATGTAGGTCTACTCATTATATTGGACAAATTTAATGTTCAGGCTGCATATTGTGTCATACCTCTGCATGAACGTGTGCAGTTGCCTTGATACAGAGTCAGACCATTAGCCAATCCAGCCCGTTACGCTGAGAAGCAGTGGCTGCCCAGAGTCTCAGGCAGAGATCTTTCCTACACTGCTGTGTGAGATCCTGCTAACTGGAGATCTTACAGATAAAACTGGGAGCCTTCCCTCAGGCAAAGCGTATTCTGTACCACTGAGTCATGTTTCATCCCTCCAGATAAACTGGTACATGGGACCCTAGCAATTACCTTGTTGGAGCAGATCAAAGGTCTTCTAGTCAAACAGGGGCCACCCATGTCTCTGGGAAGTCTAGAAAAGAGGATATTGTGGAGATACCACTTTTGATCTTTGTCTCCAGTGTCTGTTAACTGGCAGACTAAAACAGGACTTCCATATTCAAAATATATTTGTTGGATCTCATTGTAAAGCTGTCTAAACCAGTGACCACACTGCATCTTGTGATACTGAAGTTTTCAGTATCCGAATAAGCACATTTTTGTTTTGAATCAGCTGCTAAAAGTGTTTCTCCGATGTACTCTTCCGGCAGGTTATCACCTCTTTATAGCTGCTACTCGTAGTTGAGCCAGCTGCAATACAAAGTGGGGATAAACAGGGATAAAAACCATACTACTACCTTGCTACACCTGGTATTTAATACTTATTAAAATATTGAAGTTCATGGAGGTCCAGGCCTTGTTTTTGGTAACCATGCATCATAATGATAATGAAGGTGAGAATACAAGGCAAGGATTAGCTCAGTTCAAGTTTTAATTTAAGTACAGTTTCCTGCTACCTGTGCAAGATTGTTTGAAGACAATGAAATCCCTCCACTGCAAATTAATAATTTTCCTGCTTAGAATGTACTGAAACTTCTGTGGCATATTTATTCTTCTTCTTCTTGCTAATACTTCTTTTTCTTGCTAATACTATGGAGGACGCCTGCCTCTCATCTTTAGCATCTCTTCTACTTGATCTAGGATCCAAGAGCCATAGCTTGTTTTATGAGATATACTCTGATTCACGTCCGACGGTTTTCAGTGATCTGCTGTAATGCAGTCTTTGTTTCAAAGTATTGCCATGTGTGATACGGTTGCATGTCCAGCCTTTGAGATTAAAGGTGCCCTTTACTTAAAAAGGCGAGGATAACGCTGAAACGTCTTCCTCAACCTATGCTTGCCTATGAATACTTGCCAGCATTCATATGCATACCTAGCCAATCAGCTGCAGAAGCTGCATGTATCTTCTCCTTCTGGTCCATTCAAGGACTAGTACGACAGTTTTGATGTTTGTTAACTCTAGAGAATGTAACATGCATTCTAGTCTCTGCTGTGGTCTGTAGCCTCCTCAGACCTCTTCCCCTGGTTTTTCTACCCTCAGTTCAGTCAGAGGCAACTCACCTGTTCAGGTATTCAGAACCACACAACAACAAACCTGTGAGGGAAGAGAGCAGGACTGTCACACTGTGCTGGTACCTCCTGCCACCACTTCCCAATGCTGTCTGTGCATGTTTGCTGTAGGTTCTGGCTCACAGGGAAAGCCCACGTATCCATCAGGCTCCTGCATTGCAGACATGCCCCCAACACAGAGACAGAATTGGAGAGAGGCTAGCATGGATGTGGAGGCAGGGCAAGGGTGCACAGTCCTATTTTTCTTCGTCATGCAATTATAGTCATGGTTCTGAAGGCCTTTGTAGACCTGACGTTGCTTAGCACATACGTTGATATCCTCATTCTGTTGTTAGAGGTCAGGGTCCTAGATGATGCTCAGCTGATGCTAGCTGCCAACTTTTCCAGATTCTTATTCCCAAGAGTGGGCTCACGTGTTACCTTTGTAGCATGAAAGCCACTTCTGCCTGGACCCAGGGCACTGCCAGATTAGTGACATCTGTAAAGAAGCAACTTGCGTGAGTTAGGATCGTGGTAGGGATCCTTCTTTCCTGCTGTTGTCAGGAAGTGGTGGTGACATCACTCTACCATGTGAACGACTCCTCCAATGATAATATTGTCATTGGACAATATAATCCGCCTTGGATCCGTGATCTCTGTTAGTTGCTTATTACTGCCCAGATACAATGCACGCAGCTTGGGCCCTAGGAGTAATAATGCAGGTTTTATAAGAGATTTTTAATGATCTGTGTAATACAAGAACTGTTGTCCTTGCAGCTACAGTGTAAAAGAGAGGAATGGATGACATTCTGCAAGTGGCATATAGTGTACCAGAGCTGGGGAGGGTGCAAAAAATGGTGTAGGCAAGGTTTTTTTTTGGGGGGGGGAACTCGCCTGAAGCAAGTTGATGTGAACTTGACAGCCAATGACTTTCTGAGCTAATGTGTGTTACAAAATTCTAGCAAGTTGCTTTGCCTCAGAATGTTAGTAGTTTTGCATTAACTATTTAACTTCAAGGAAAGAACCCTAGTGTTTTTATGTGATTTATATTCTTTATCTTTTTTTAAAAAACGATATGATTGTGTGACTAAGCTACAGAACTGATCAACAACTACATAGTCTCAGATGATGTAATATTTGCTGTGTAATACACAGTGCAATCTATTTTTCCCCATGCATACTTACCCTAGGTAAGTGGATGGTGGCGATTGTAAGATAAATTGCCCATCTCTTACTAGTAGTTCAAACTAAAACGTCTAGCACAAGTTGTAGAAAAGTTACAGAATTGGGCTATAAGATTGTTGTGGGGGCTTCTGTCTCATATACAAGTGGCTTCTTTGTTCTTTACTCATGCTAAATTTCAGCCTCTTGTCTTCCATGAATTAAGAATGTTGGTGATGATTTGTGCTTGTGTTAAGCTTAATATAATGTCGTATCCTCTTGACAGATGCCTGGTTATCATGATTAGTTCTATCTAACAGTACTAGTACCTATTTCTTTTTCTTTTTTTAAAAAAATCAGCAGTTTTGGTGAACAGTCTATTTATATTTCTGTATGAATCTTATGAAGCAGCAGCGTAACTATCCTATTTAGCATGAGCAAGATGACTTACAATATGATGAGCTAAAGTGAGTCACAATAGCCTGTCTAGAACGCCTGTCAGCCACCACCAATCCAGGATCTTGAACAGACCCCAGTCCTTCTAACAGAGATCTTAAAAACCGAAATGCCTGAGATTGAACTAGATGACTCATAAGTTTAAAACCTGTGGTCTGTTATACAGGTAAACTGATTAATCTTCTCTCTAGTGCAATTAATTAGATTTTTTGTTTTGTCTTTTTAAAAAAGTAAGGCAAGAATGATTTGATTTTGACCATGGAGTGGTCTGGTTTACATAGAACATTAAACCATGGTTTAACGTTATGTGGCCAAACCTTCGCAAGCCCAAGCAAAGTGTCAGACTCACTCACATCACTCTCCTCCTTCTCCAGCCAGGAGTGTGACTTCTGCTGAGCTTAGTTTAACTTGCAAATTAACTCAGCTTAGCATTACATGTGTACCAGCAATCCTGGTTGGAAACTAGTAATGGTTAGTGAAACAAGCCAGCTTCATAATCCATAGTTTGAGGTTGGCTTGTTTGGAAACTAACCATGGATTGATTTAAACCAGGATACCGGGTTCATATGTAACGCTAAGCCAATATTTTCTGGAATTGAAACTAAACTCAGCAGAAGTTCTATTGGCTGCACAACAGAGGAAGGGAAGAGAATACTTGCCTGATGCTTTGCACAGGCTTGGGATGGAGGCTCCTTCACACAACACTAGACCTTGGTTTAGTGTGGCATGTAAGTCCCAAAGGATCACATTGCTTTTTTGCCACTAACATTGTATATGATATTGCTTTACATTTTCGTTATGTTTGATTTTCTATGGTTTAATTTTTGCTTTTTATGTTTTCGTTTCAGTTGATCTCACACACAGACTTGTATGCCAGGAGCGGACTCTGTGCATTCATATGTTTTAGTTGCTTGCTTTTCCACCTTGTGAATCCTTCTGTCATACCATTGTGCAAGTGAAACAGCATGAAAGACAAACTGACCATCTGGTGCGTTTTTCAGTGGCTGGATTGTGACTGTGCAGGATGTTAACGTTTTTAAGAAAACATTTGCCTTGTCTTTGCAGATTCCCTGTGGAAAATACTCGTATTGCTAGTTCTGAAATGTCAGGGGTTTAATTTGTTTTAAACCCAATGAATTACTATCTATTTATAAAATGGCCCTAACTAGATCTAATACATTTTTTAAAATGCAATCTTGATGAAAGAGTTCCATATAAAAGTTTCTGTTGGGAACCTGTTTATTTTCATTTTTCAAATTTATTTTAGGTTAAATATCACCAATATTTTATTTTTAACAAAAATTGCAATCTGAA